CGTGTGACTTATAAATTTTAATATTTGACTAACTAATTTTGAAATCTGCGACCAATGAATTAAATGTGACCTATAAAATTTTTGAACTGTGACCATTAAATAATCTGTGACGTATAAAAATTAATATTTGTGATTGAAAAATAATATGTGACTAATTCAATTATAAATCTGTGACCGAAATGATTGCCGGAATAGTCGCCGGAATCGGAGCAGTCGCCGGAGAAGAGTGGTGGTTAGAATGGTCGCCGGAATAGTCCCTGGAGCGGTAGGGGTGGTGCATGTGGGGTGAGTTTATTATATTATATTATATTAGAAAAAAAAACTTGATTTTTGAATTTTCAAACTATAAACATGATTATGAATTGGTGTAAACTAAACACCTTATTTATGAATTTTTCCCATAAACTTTTGTTTTGCTTTCTGAAAGGACAACGTAAAAGGAAAAGGGTTTCTTCCTGTTGGGCTGTGATGCCAATCTAATTCATTTAGGGCGATGATGATATCTTCGGCCTGGCCCATTTTACTGTTTTGATCAATTGCCTGATAACTCATATTAAGAGATCCAAAACCCGAACCCAATATATGGATGCCGCATTTTGGAAGAGCAACTTTAGTTGCCTCTTAATGTTGAAATCGCAAATTGATCTGGACCGTTGATCATCATCTGAGATCAACAATGATGGTGTGGTGTATAAATAGGTCCTTGGTGGCTACCCTAACTCAGTTGTGACATCTGATTTTCTGTGGTGTCTTCTGAAATCGTCTTTGGATCTGTTCTTTTGTTTCATCTTCTCTGATCATCTTCAACCTATGGTAGGATGATTTTCTTCTAGTTTTTTGAGCTGAACGTGAATCTTTGTGATTCTTTGTGCGAGAGAAGATTGTATAGTGATAAGTGTATTTTTTACATTTATTTGGATCATTAAATTAGAGTATTTGTTGGTAATTTGGATGAGTTATATCTTAATTTTGTGTTGATTATGTTTGCTATGTTGAACTCAATGCAAATTGATGAATTTCAAAGAAAGCGATGAAAAATGTGCAAAAACAAAGGAAATCCAAAGTTTGGGGACCAAAGTGTAAACATCAATTATTTGATTTGGAGCACAAAACGATGATTGAAGATCATTAGGATCAATTAGATGCAACTGGAGGTCAAATGAGTGAAATATAGTGGAAATATTTTCACAAATCAATTTCCAACCGAAAAAGTTATGCTCTCGATTTTTAGTATCAACTTGAGACCCATGTTTCAGATAGAAAACACTGAATTGAAAAAATTGTATTTCTAGAAGAATTGTATTAATTTGAATTACCTTTCCAACACATTTTAAATAACATCAATCAGATATCTGTAGAGAAAGTTATGGCCAAAATATTGAGAGCTGTTCAGGGACAAACAGAAGCAACTTACGCACACGCGGCACCTTATTTTCCCCAACCTAAAAGCCATTTGTCTCTATGGTGCCTACATGTTAGTTATATCGATGCGAAAGCGCAAGCCATTTTTGGCCCTGAATGGCCCAACTTTTTAGTTTCATCCAATTTTTTATGGAAATCAAATATAACCTACTATTTAGCTTAGAAAGGGTGGCGTAAACAAAAAAAAAAAACATATCAAATCCTATTTTTCATCACAAGTAGGAAGCTAGCACAAGATTCAAAGTCCAAGTTGAAGATTAACGAAGAAGAAATTGATTTTTCACTTTTCATTTATTGTTTTTCATTCCGAATAATGTTTATTTACACAACAATATACTAGGCTAATTATTTTCATGTATTGGATGAAGATGAAACCAGTTATTATTTATTTTTAATTCAAGACAAGTAGTTAGTTAATTTCTTGTTTGTATTGGATGAAGATGAAACATTTTTATTCTTTATTTTTAATTTAAAACAAATAATTAATTAAATTCTTGTTTTTCTTGATTAAACTTGTATGCGTAATTTTATTATTTGATTGTTTGATCACCAATTAAATATATAGTTGTTTGTTATAGTGTTGGGAGACTCGTAATAGGTCTAGAACAGTACTTGATTAACATACATGCAATAGATATTAGAAATAATGTTTATCACGTGTGCAATCTTAGAGAAAATTATGAAACCGAATGCATTCTAATCATTTGAATTCGGATTAGAAATAAATTCGAGTCGTGATTAAAATATTTTTAATTTGTCTTGGAAATGAGAATTAATTACAATAGAATTATCGATTATCAAGAATGCATGAATGACACTAACTACGTAATTGAGAATTGAAATAAACAATAATAGGTGGATTTGTAATCCAATACATTCATTCCATATAAATACGAAGCTCGAATTTTACAAGCTTTTGAAGAATAATTATCACTCAAAATTCCCTTTTGTTTGCTCACTTTGAATCTAAATTAAAACTCGAATTTTACAAGCTTTTGTAGAATAATTATCAATCAAAATTCCCTTTTGTTTGCTCACTTTGAATCTAAATAAAAACTAATGCACTTGATTGAAATTTATTTCATGTGGGACGATACGTGTACTCACCACGTATTATTTGTCAACGATCTCGTACGCTTGTGAGTTTTGCACGAACAAGTTGATAACAGTATAGTAAGTCATTGCTAAGCTGCCCGTAAGAGTACTCAAGTCGAGCCCAGCCACACTCACCTTCATGTTGATAGACATTGAAGTAGAGATCATTCATAGATTTGCTCACAAGGTAAGTGAATGCAGTATCAATGTCCATTTCCGTGTAATATTGAAATTAGGAACCATAACATTGGCATTCGCCATTTTAATGGCCGATGCATAAACCACATGTGGAGAAATGTCGACGATTCTCCCGTATGATAATTTGGTGCAATGGAAACATTCGATGATAAGAATCCCAAGATCTTCCAATCGTGTTGATAAGTGCATTTTATGCACTTATTCTGGTCATATTACAAAACTTTTGTGTTGTTTTAGTATTGAATTTTACTTAACTTGGGATTAATTTTATCTTATTTCAGTTTTGAACTCGTTTCTAAGCAATTGAAAAAGAAAGAAAGATCAATTGGCCAATTGATGAAAGTTTGGGGATTAATATACATTTGAGTAAAAGTTGAAGTGCTAAAATCAAAGTAATTTAATATAGAGGACCAACATGGAAGAATGAACGAATAAAATGACTAAAAGGAAAATTCAAGAAGTTTTTTATAACTGGGCAGTCGTTCAGTTATATAGGCCATTAACCTTAATTACAGAGGCTACTTAGGATACTTGGGCAGCCGCCCCGTTTACTACTGGGCGGCCTCCTAGGGCAATTCGGTTAAAATATTCTGCTTCCTTTAGAATTCAATTCCAACAAAGAAAATTCCATTTAGGCCATGATATGCACGATTTTTGAAAATTTTTTGGGACTCTTTAGAAGGATTATAAATACCAACTCTCAAATCATAATTAGGTGTGTGGAGAATGAATTGCAAAAGGAGGCAAAGAACAAATCAAGATCAAATCCAATAAGTTCAAGATTGAAATCAAGAATTTTCGAGTGATGAACAACATTTATATCTTTTGCTTACTTCTTTATAACATGTTAGGCTAGATTTATTTGTACTAGGAGAACAACAAACCTTGTAATATGAATTTTTAATCCTTAATTTTACATATTTGACATTGAAAACATGTTTTTTGAATTTTAAATGATTTATATGATTATATTTTCTCTACAAATATTGTGTACAATAATTGTATGAATTTGGTGGCTTATTTTATGCATTCGAAAGGAGGAAAATAGGCTCTACATGGTGCAAATTCTCATAGGGTCTGACATGGGATAAAAATATACCACTATACTCTGTGAATATTTAAGTGTTTAAAAAAAATCATGCACTCTTATATGTCTGCATCCGACATAGGAATATAGTCGGGTCATATATGATAGTAGGTTTAATATTACTCGAAAAAAGATTGTTAAATAAATTAGGAACATTGATTCGTCAAAATTCAATTGTGTTGTCAAAGTGTAGAACTAAGGTTAAAAATGATTACTGCATGAGAATTCGGGATCCTAAGACGTTTGTCATGAAATACATCAATTTGCATTTAGTATAATTTGCATTTAGTTTAGTTAATTTACTCATAATTGTATAAGTAGATTAATTTATTCATAATTTTGTCACAAACAAATACATCATATTATTCTTATTTCGGTTAAGGTCGAGACAATTAAAATTGAACTAATCAATCTCTTTAAGACGATACTTGGACTCAAAATCCACTTTATTACCTGTTGACGAATCGTACACTTGCGGTGGTAATTCGAAATATATTTTCATGAACTAGTTTTAACCCTTAACTTCAATTACAGGGGCTGTCTGATATGCTTGGGCGGCCGCTCCATTTCCTACTGGGCGCCAGCCAAGGTCAAGTCGGAAAAAAAATTATGTTTCCTTCAGAATTCAATTCCAATAAGGAAACTTCCATTTGAGCCATGATATGCGTGATTTTTAGAGATCTTTTGGAACTCTTTAGAGGTAATATAAATATCAACTTTCAAAACATAATTAGGTTGTGGATAATTAATTACAAAAGGAGGCAAAGAACACATCAAGATCAAATCCAAGAAGTTCAAGATTGAATTCAAGAATTTTTGGGTGATGAACAATCTTTATATCTTTTACTTTCTTCTTCATCCAAGAAGTTCAAGATTGAATTCAAGAATTTCTGGGTGATGAACAATGTTTATATCTTTTACTTTCTTCTTCACATCATGTTAGGCTAAATTTATTTATGCTATTGGAGCAATGAACCTTATAATATGAATTTTTAATAGTTAGCTTCACATATTTGACATTTAAAACACGTTTTGGATTTTGAATTTTTTACATGTTTATCTTTTCTCTACTATTATTTTGCAAGGTAATTGTATGAATTTGGTGGTTTATTTTATGCATTCGAAAAAAAAGAAAATATACTCGACATAGTGTAAATCGTCATAGGGTTCGATGGAGAATAAAAATATACCGATATGCTCTATGTGACTCTTTAAGTGTTTATAAAAATTTATGCATTCTTGTATGTTCGCATTTGTCATAGAAATATAGTCAGATCATATATGAGAGTATGTTTAACATTGCTGGAGAGAGATTGTTAAATAAAATAGCAACATTGATTCGTCAAAATCCAATCGTGTGTGTGAAAGTGTAGAACTAAGGTTAAAAATGATTATTGTATGGAATTCGGTATCTTAGTGCATTTGTCACTTATTAAACACGTCAATTTGCATTTAGAATAATTTACATTTAATTGAGTTAATTTACTCATAATTGCATAAGTAGATTACTTTAGTCATAATTTTGTCACAAACAAACAAACCATATTATTCATATTTCGGTTAAGAATGCGATAATTAAAATTGAACGAAATCAATAGATGTATGGCTATACTTTAACTTAAATCCACTTTATTACTTGTTAATGAACCGTACACTTGCGGTGGTTTTAATTTGAAAGATAATTTCGTGAACAGGTGTCATTTCCCGGGTAATGATCGGGCCACCCACGTTAAGGGCCTGTCTGTTATCTCTATTTTTATATCTTTTACTTTCTTCTTCATATCATGTTAGGCTAAATTTATTTGTGCTATTGGAGCAATGAACCTTATAATATGAATTTTTAATAGTTAGCTTCACATATTTGACATTTAAAACACGTTTTGGATTTTGAATTTTTTACATGTTTATCTTTTCTCTACTATTATTGTGCAAGGTAATTGTATGAATTTGGTGGTTTATTTTATGCATTCGAAAAAAAAGAAAATATACTCGACATAGTGTAAATCGTCATAGGGTTCGATGGAGAATAAAAATATACCGATATACTCTATGTGAATCTTTAAGTGTTTATAAAAATTCATGTATTCTTGTATGTTCGCATTTGTCATAGAAATATAGTCAGATCATATATGAGAGTATGTTTAACATTGTTGGAGAGAGATTGTTAAATAAAATAGCAACATTGATTCGTCAAAATCCAATCGTGTGTGTGAAAGTGTAGAACTAAGGTTAAAAATGATTATTGTATGGAATTCGGTATCTTAGTGCATTTGTCACTTATTAAACACGTCAATTTGCATTTAGAATAATTTACATTTAATTGAGTTAATTTACTATTGCATAAGTAGATTACTTTAGTCATAATTTTGTCACAAACAAACACACCATATTATTCATATTTCGGTTAAGAATGCGATAATTAAAATTGAACGAAATCAATAGTTGTATGGCTATACTTTAACTTAAATCCACTTTATTACTTGTTAATGAACCGTACACTTGCGGTAGTTTTAATTTGAAAGATAATTTCGTGTACAGGTGTCATTTCCCGGGTAATGATCGGGCCACCCACGTTAAGGGCCTGTCTGTTATCTCTATTTCCCTAGATTAATATCAAGATTATAGCCGTTGGCGTGAAATGTGGGACCCATGCCAGAGAGAAATGGTCAAAAAATGTGGGCAATAACGGGTAAAAAATCACAGTTTTGGCAACAATAATCTGGGCCAGACATGCTCTTAGCCTATACATGGTCTGGAACGCGTTTCTGCTTAAACCAGAATAAGATCCTTCAAGGGAAAGCATATTACCAGAACCTTCAATCAGGATATCAGGGGCTGATACCAAATAGCATTAATGAGAGCAAAACTATCTGTATCCGGCTCAAATCTAATTGGAAACCTCTCTGTTGTTACATTAAAAAGGTACTCTTTTAAGAGTCCATTTCGGGTTTTCGCTGTTTTTGAATTCTTGTACAAGGACAAATTCATCTGTCTTAACCTTAAACATGTCCTCTGCAAATTGTGAACACTGTTCTGCAAGGGGAAGAAATGGAGTCGAATCCAATGCCAACCCGACTGACTAACATGGAAGGTACTTTTCAAAGATTTTCCCCGAAAGATAAACTGGTGAAGATACATTTGCAGATGGTACAGAAACTTGAATGTTTTTTCCTGTGTAGGCTAAATATTTGCTTGCATCTAAATCACTCATGAAAACACGATCATTTAGGGATGGCAAAAAAACCCGACAAACCCGATACCCACGGGGTCCCACCCTGAACGGGGCGGGGCCGTCCCTGCCCCGCCCCATTTAAATTTTTTTTTTTTAGAATTCAATACTTTAAATGAAATTTTTTATTAGTTCTAATAGAAAATAGCAACTAAAATTATTTGTCCAAATCTAATGAATATCGACAATAAAAATAAATTATCAAAAATTTTAAAAAAAAAAAAAATTAAACGGGAGAATAAACGGGAAATGGACATACCCCGCCCCGCCCCGTTACCATCCCTACGATCATTCGGGGTGGTAGAGAACGAGGCGCCACAATCAAGAAGGTAATTATCAGATGGGCTAAGGGCGGAAAAGATAGCTACCAAGAGGTAGAAAAGAACCGATGTAGGTGGCGACCATAGGCGGTGTCCTCTAGGTGTCTTCGCCATCTCCAGCAAAATTGAGATGGGTCGTTGAAAAATGATGGTAAAAGGAAGCTTCGATTTTTAACAGAAATTTTGAGCCTAATTGAATTAATATGATTCATTTCGGACGAAGTTTTGATATGGTATTCCAATATTGTCGCTTGTTTGTGGGGTGGGGAGATGTGTGAATTTTTTCTGTTATTTTTGGAGGGATATAAAACAGACATTTGAAGACTATTCTCCTCCCTCACTCTTTGGATTCCTGTTAGATATGAGACAAGAAATTTTCCTTCTCCCACCTTCCCCGTCATCCTCAGACTAGCAGAACATAATTCAAAATATAAATTTACTTTTACTTATAATCTTCGCCGAGCATTCTCTAAATCAAAAATAAAAATCCAGCGACTATTATGGAAATTGGATGATCGAGTTGATTATTAAGTTTTAATCCCTACTTCGAAAATTCAATATTCAGGATTCAAACCGACCGAGCTTGAACCCGAGCTAACGGAGAGGTGAAGCTGTTCCTTTTCCTGTTCCTGGAGATTCATATTTCCGAGTTCCACTGCGCACATCTCCGGCCGTGGACGTGGCGATAGCAGTAAGATGCACAGGATTGCCATTTTCATCGCGTAAATCTGCCATTTCTCAAAATTTTAATAACACTGCACGGTTTCAAGCTTTAAGCTGAACTCAACTTAGATAGGGATTGAGGGCTCTCAAACAGCGGAGCAGTAGCAGTTTCTGAATAAAAACGAAAATGTACCAAAACTCCAACTCGGTCCAACAAACAAAGCCAAGTTACGAACTCCATGAATAGGTGCAAAAATAAATGTAATAAGAACAAAATATTACCAGGCTCTTATTTCACATTGCTAACTTTTTCCTTTTCCTAAATGAATATTTGATCTTATTTCACATTGCTACCTTCTTTACAGTGTGTGTATCTTCGAAAACTCCTGTTCACCGGCCAGTTGCAGATAGACTGTAAAATCTGTAAAAATAAAAACACAGCATCTCAGCACACTACCATAAATATGAATAAAATCTATTGCACATATGAGTATTGTACTAAGATGCACATGTAAGAAACCTGAAGTCCACACTTCTTTGCAGTTGTCAAGAAGCTCACGCCTTGCTAGATTTCGTCCAGAAAAACCCCTTTTTACGAGCGGAGTGATTCTCAGAAGATGATACAATCCCCTTTGACCTAAAAGAGAGGTGTCGTCTCAAGAAATGGTTTCCTAAAGAGCTTTTCATGCTGAAACTCAAGCTAATTTTGGGATTTGTTCCACCATGACCACTGCTCCTATCATGATCAACTTCAATGAGATTGCTATCAACCAGCTGATTTCTAGATCGCTTTATAGACTTCAAATCCATTTCAGCTTTTAGTGCCTTTTTAGATAACTTCTCCCCTAAAGTACAGACTGGGCAAATTGGGTCGTATTTGTTGATTTCAGCCGTCATGCACTCTAAGCAATCAGCATGGAAAACATGTCCACAAATTAAAACAGCAACCACATCAATTTCAGTGGTGACAATTAATTTTTGGCTACCCCATGAAGATCTCTCGGTTAAAAGCTTCGAACAAACACCACATGTTTGGAGATCCAAGGGAGGAGACCCAGATATTTGTTGGCTATCAAAAGACCACCTCTCTCTCCTAGTTCTTGTGAGCTCAGCAAAGGCAATAGATGACCAGTTGTCTGAAGACCCATCCTTGGAGCCCCAAGTAGGGAGCAATAAAGAAGATGCTTCTTCAGAAATAGAAAATGCAGGTGACTTGCATTCGGGAATCCAGCTATCAGATACATGCCTTAATAGCTGATGTCCTGGAGAACGACAAAGCCACCTTGAAGGAGTCGAGTTTGGGGGAAGATGGTGATTTTTAGATGGTGAAGGAGATGTTGATAGAGATAAAGCCGAAGGTGCTGAAAGAGATGGCTTTGCATGTGATGGGTATAAAACTGCAGGGGATTCTGTTGACTCCTTCACCTGGACAATGGAAGTGGAAAAGAAGAATCAGATGAGAAAACCCATGTAACACACGTATTCCACATATAAAAACATTCAAAATATATTGTAATCCAAAATTCAACCAATACCAACAGTTCGCCAAGCCACGTACCTCTGCTGAAGACCGGGAAATAGAAGGATCTGCAAAAGCAATTATACAGACATCAAAAGTAAAACCATGGAAAAATTACTGTTCAACTTATTTTCCTACGATAAATATTAAAGAGCAAGAGAATAAGGATGTTCATTGTCACGATTCCGTGACAGAAGAATAAACAAGTTAATGCACAGACAACCAGCTGATATGGTTTTGGGTCTATGAATCATTGAAATTGTCTAAAAAAAGCATTGGCATATTGCCTGAATTCAAGTCTAATGAATCTAGCAGTTCCTTACCATTTTGCCAAACCAAAATTTTTAATAGCTAAAGATAATTAACTATAGTAGCTATCGTTTCCTAATCCAGATTTCCCATCAATCTTAGTATCTGCAGATCCTAGTTAAAAGATCACTTGCTCCAGTAACATAAATGCCTTGTCAGATGTTTTGGAAGTGTATTAAGTGCATACTGAACAGCCAATATGCGACGAGAAATATAGAAAACTCCAAGCAATGCATAATGCCCGCATACATCAGATCTAGCTCTATAAGTATTTGAAATAAATCTATCCTTTATCTCGTGATATACTACCTTTCTAGTTAGTGTGCTTATACAAATTTTAATACAGTACCTACTGGATTGTTTTGACTTTTATTTTTGTCGAAAATTTGTAAATTGCCAGTGTTTATCTGAAATTAGGACCAGAAACGAATTTTATACAATTTTTTAAAAGGAGCGAGAGAGAAATAGTATCAAAATTGGCAAATTTGAACAAGATCGTATTAATTCTTATTCCGAGGACTCAATTCCATGCTGCCAAAATGTACAGTACCTCACATCATTGTTACAAACATATGTTTCAATAGACTAAAATTATAAATATATAAGAATGAGTGGTGGATAATAAGGTGACACTTGTAGGTACCTTGAAATGTGTGGATAAAAAGTGGTTTGAGCATTTATAATCTGTTTATAAACATTTTTTTTTTGAGAGGTATAATCTGTTTATAAACATGAACCAAACATAGGCCAAATAAACTGAGAAAAATTAAAGTACACTATGTTGAGCGTATTGTTATATCTGCGATGCATCTCAAAACTAAAAGAAATGAACTGCCCATAGAGAATTACCAGAAGAAGGATGTCTGAGAATCCCAGTATTCCCTTCGGAAATTGGGGACTTTTGGCGCACAAGTGATTGGAAACCATCCAATGGGCTTCCCCCTTCAGAAGCAGAAGCAATTTCTACGGTGGTACCAGATTTGGCATCCAATCGATAACTGCCACCCCCTCCATCATGTACCCAATCCTCAGATGGCTCTTCTCCAGCAACTCGCCCACGATTATCCCATCTAAAGCTCCAAGAGGGTGAATGGCGGGCATGCCTCTGCAAAGCTTCACTGGGTGATCCTTTTGTTATAGGTTCTCTAGCTGCGACACAACATGCAGACCCCATGCTTTCTCACACACAACAAAGAATTGATAACTTACGGGTAACTGTCTTTCGCATTTATGATCGCCACAAAAAGAACATGAAGGATGTCAACTGAACGTACATTGTCTGTATGAAGTGAAAGACGGCAGTCAATCATCATCTGGTCACAGTGACAAAATTACAGATACACATTGTACCAAACAATGGAGCAATAATTAAGCATGACCAAATTTCTAACCAAAATGTTACACAACATATCCCTGATACCTCAGGTCCTTAGCTGACATTAAGTTAGGAACGTGATATAGATTTGTAATGTTCATAATATAGCTCTAAACTAAAGTGTAAGTAATGATTAAAAATAACATATATCAGTCCAGAGGATATCTAAATTATTGATCATTGAAACAACAAATGACAGCTAAATTCCGAGGATTTTAGGAAGTAAAAATCATCATCCAACACATCAGAAAAGAGGTGGAAATAATTTTGAATACTATGAGATATAAACAAGTTGCACGTAAAAATGGTGGAAATAATATTGAATAATATGAGATATGTTTCCCTTAATACAAGTCATACGCGAAGTATAGCCCCTATTTAACCCCATTCTATAAACAATCATTTTCTCCAAACTCATTTTCAACTACATTGTCCCAATAAAATAATTTTACAAGTAAACTCAAAACTTTTTCCACTTTTTAACAACATATTGCCAAAAAAATCACGATCACAAAACCTATTTTCCCAAAAATGGGGCTCAAACACACCCATAATCTGTATTTTATGAGTAAGGTAGTTGTCATATAAAAACAAAATACAAACACCAAAATTCTACCATCAAGAAAATCGCAATTACTGTACCATTTTCTCATAAGAAATTAACTTTACCCAATTAGTCCAGTTTCAATTACTTAAATTTAGGGATCATCGGGGTTCTTCCTGACCCACCGTAAACACAGATGAATTAATAGCAAAGCCTAATACGTATGATCCAATAATGATAGTCAAATCATCCTATTTGACAATATCTGTCCAAGCATCCCATTTATCAGATCACCAAAAGGCTATTAAAATCCACATCAGATTGAAAAAAAAAAAGACATAAATGCTTCCATTCATTAAATGATAACTTAAACCGAGAAATCCTATACAAAAGTAAATAATAAAACCGACATAGAGATCCAAAATTCAAAGGAAATCACCGACCAAATTAATTTTCCTATCTAACCATTTTATTCCCTATATAATCCAAATAATTCCCCTTAAGCCCTATATTATTCTCGATTTCCTTTAAAGGGACATATGAATACAAACAATTACAATCTACATATACTTGGGTACAATTATATTATATACTGTCTTTCGTACAAAAACAAATGAAACTTACAAGATCAAATCACGAGGTCCGTCGATCTGAAAACCCTAGAGAGAGAAATAAAAGGTTTTGTTTTTTGTAGATGGATTCTGGTTCTTCCTCTTCTACATTTGGTGGTGAGAGATTTTCTATTCTAAATTGGCTGCGTACAAACAATTAGTGGTAATTGGGGCAAATGGTCTCTTTGATAATGTAGTTTGGGATTTTAGCCTTTGACCACAATTAAAGTTTTAAAATAAATATTTTAATTCATTAAATTGGCTGCGTACAAACATTTATGCTGTTGGAGTGGTTACCTTAGGTTAATATTGGATTACAAATTTTACTTATAAAATGAAGCATTGAGTCTGTAAATATTCTTTATTTTATGACACGCGTGAAGAAAAATCGAGGTGGGCGTAGACGAAAACGAGTCATTTCATATCATTTTACTAATACCCTTTTTGATAGGGTTTATTTTTCATGTAAGTTGAAAATTATTTTCCATTTTTCAAGTTATTACATGTTTGATTGGTCAAAAATTTCATAAAATTGGTTTTCCTTCTTAAGCTCCACGTGACCCCCTTTTCTTGATTTTTCTTGAATTGGTTTTCCCTTCACTTCGGTGGGAAAATGTTTTTGTAGGCTGCTTTTCATTTCTTTTTCTTTTTTTTTTTTTTATAATTGAAATAAATTATATCCCCAATAATAACAAATGCTATTCATTGACTGGACAATTTTCATAAAAAATAAAGTCAAACGAACACCAAAAGATCCAAAATTTCAACATTTTTCTGGTGAAAAATTATACCAATCAAACACAATTAATTGACAATTCTCAGTAAAACAAGTTTAAAACAATTCAATTCCCTGAAATTTATTTTCTTTTCACCCAAATTTCATTTTTACAATCAAACGGATCCTAAAAGAAATGATGAAATGAGGATGAATATGAAAAATGTGAAGTTTCATTGATGCTTAAATGTTATTTTATTCTATTCTTTTTTGTGGTTGCCAATATTATTGTCATGACCATATTTTTAAGATACGCTTATTTTGAAGAGTAATGTTATTTATTATTAGTAGATATCATCATTAGTATAAATGATAGCAACTCTTGATTCATTGTTTGTTGAGTCGTGATACATTTTGAGCATGTTTAGCAAAACTTTTAACTTGGTTCATTATTTTGAGCATTTTGAGCATCTTGATTCATTATTTTGAGCATGTTTAGCAAAACTTTTATATTCGAAATCAACAATTAATTTTAACTACATATTTCATGGAATTCATAACTTTTATTAAAATCTACTAAAATCTGAATTTTTTTAGTTGCAGAAGTGGAGGCTTTATAATTTCTCGTAACTTGGTTATTTCAAGTTTTGAATCGGTTTCCTCTTTGCTTCTATAAAAAAATTGAATGTTGTAAATTATTCTTGATGAACATTTATCTCGTATATTTATTTAAAAAATATGCCGATAAACTAATCAATAATTCCCTTCAACACATAATTTAATTGCACAATTGCAAAAGAGAGCAAAATTTACAAAATTTATTCATATCATTATTTATATTTGACTTGCAAACATTCCATACATGTATACACATGCCTATATTCAAACCGGCTTCCAAACCATACATACAAAATCATAGCACACTCATATATATGTATATATATATATCTATGTGTTATATAATATTTATATATATACTAAGAGGATAATTTAATATATGCATTTAATAGACTTTATTTATTCAGGTACTTATTATCAAGAACAAGAAGATATATGATCAGTTTGGAGCTGGTTTGAAAGGAGGCTTGACCAGTTCTGGAGATGGATCAATTCTTCCATAGTCTTTGTTGTTCACTCTCAGAAGTCTTTCATGGACTTCACTCATTTTTCCATGATGTTCCTGCATCAAAAATATTTCAAAAACAAAATTACATGATGACTATATTTTGTACACAATATTAAATAATATGGTAGCGTACTCGAAACACGACGGTTAACCTCATAGACAATATTTAGCTATGATTTAAAGCAATACAGATCTAAAATTCTTAACTGGACCAGATGATAGTTTATCTTTCGATAAAGAAGAGATGTATTTTCATTGATGAATAACAAATTTAATTAAATCTTGAGATCCATAAATAACTTAATGTGTCATGTGCTTAGTATAAGTTAAGCATGGTGCTCAGTAGATCATTTCTCTTCTAAATATTCTATTGCTGAGTTTAATTAAGATCGGTGGTGACCTCGTGAGTAACACTCGCTCGCTTTTGATCCAATTTGCTCACTGACCTATTAGCACACTCATATATATGTATATATCTATGTGTTATATAATATTTATATATATACTAAGAGGATAATTTAATATATACATTTAATAGACTTTATTTATTCAGGTACTTATTATCAAGAACAAGAAGATATATGATCAGTTTGGAGCGGGTTTGAAAGGAGGCTTGACCAGTTCTGGAGGTGGATCAATTCTTCCATAGTCTTTGTTGTTCACTCTCAGAAGTCTTTCATGGACTTCACTCATTTTTCCATGATGTTCCTGCATCAAAAATATTTCAAAAACAAAATTACATGACGACTATATTTTGTACACAATATTAAATAATATGGTAGCGTACTCGATACACGACGGTTAACCTCTTAGACAATATTTAGCTATGATTTAAAGCAATACAATCTTTAGATAAAGAAGAGATGTATATTCATTGATGAATAGAAAATTTAATAAAATCTTGAGATCCATAAATAACTTAATGTTTCACGTGCTTAGTATAAGCTAAGCATGATGCTTAGTAGATCATTTCTCTTCGAAATATTCTACTGCTGAGTTTAATTAAGATCGGTGGTGACCTCGTGAGTAACACTCGCTCGCTTTTGGTCCATAAACGAGTGACTGGATACGTGTCGACCTGCATGAAAAACTGAGCAAATCAAGAATCGAAATCGTGGGAAGAATTCTGCACGATATTTTTGATATGTTGAACTAGAGATAATTGAACGTAACATCATAGAAAAATATTTCAAACTATATTGGCAAGAAAACTCATTAATTTCCTGTTGTGTAATCGGTCTCACATGCCAATAGTATTTTAGGGTTTGATTATGATGTATGGTTTACAATATTCCAACAAAAAATTGTTCAACAAAAATAAAAATACACAATAATGTTATGCATGACAAGCATGCAGCAAAATGATAAATTTTGATGAATCTCAAGAAATTAAATCATACATCTCTCTCCATTTCTTGACCATATGTGCATGTAACTAATTATAAAATCATTAACTATATTTTCCTCAAAATAAACGATGCTATGTCTAAGAGATGCATCATTAATTTTCCACGCGGGTTAAACTATAGGACTAGAAGAGTTCGGAGGATGTTCACTAGAAAAAGTTCGACGCATAGGTTAAACTTATGCACGTTGTTTTTTCTCGAATGCTTAGAACACTCGAATTTGAGAAGAACTTGAGGAAAAAAAATGAGTTTCTTTCGAAAGAGATTGAACTCAGAGAAATGACAACTACCTGCAAAGGAAATAGACATAAGTGACGCGGAAATGAGAAGGAAGAGGAGACTAATCTTCTTGAGAAGCAAGAAATCCATGTTCTCTTTGTAAGAAATAATTTGAGAACTTCAATCTCTTTGTAAGAAATAATTTGAAGCTCTCTTCTTACTCGGAAAAAAAGAAACACAAACACTAGTGAGTCCTTTCCATAACTAACGTATTTATATATAACAACACTTTTCATGAGACTCACAACTTTTATCAAATTTTTTCAGAGGTATATTTTATCAATTTTTATCAAAATTTATTAAAAATCTTATTTTTATCTAAATCAAACAGGGACTAGATTTACACTAATAAAAGACAAAGAGATAAAATGGAATCATATTTTATTTCATAGAATGCTATCTTTGTGCCTTTTAGTTAAACAATTAAAACTTTAAAGGTGAGAGACACCACTTCACGAAGTTAGTGGGATTAATATATCAACTAATAGCCCTATTTGATTCAGTCAAAAAAAATCATATTTTTAGTAATTTTTAATAAAACTTGATGAAATTTGTGATTAAAAAGTTATGGATCATATGAAATTTGGTTTAGAGTATGAAATTATGTATATGAACGTGACTTTTATGTCAACTTCAATCAAATATTTGGACTTGATTCGATAGTCAAATTATGAATATAAATAGACTAACATATTCTACTCGTCGAGTAGATCCTCGTTGTATATTTGAAATCTCAAAATCAATTCCGAATGAATAAGAAATAGCGGTCCAAAGTTGGATAGAAAAGAGGATACACGGGTTTGACTATGACTATCTCTATTACTTGCATGTCGCTCGAGCGAAAAGCCAGCAACAAGCTAGCAAGAGAAGCTCTGATGAAAATGTGTCACTGTCCCTCGAGCGAGAGGTCAGCGACAGGCTAGTGACAGTAAATGCTGCGACCTTCGACAAAAGTTTGCTGAATTTAGGGCACGACCTTTCATTTACAACCTTTCGTCTTCTAAATTGGATGGATCTATTGACAAATATAAGACTATTGGTTTCCAAAGGATTAGGCAAAAAGAAAGACTTGATTTCTTTGATACCTACTTACGCATAACTAGAATCTCTTCAATACGGTTGTTAATTGCAATTGCAGCAATACACAACCTTAAGATTCATCAAATTGATGTGAAAACGACATTCTTGAATGGTGAATTAGAAGATGAGATATATATGGAACAACCCGAAGGGTTCGTCTCTCCTAATCACAAACACAAGGTTTGTAGACTCGTTAAGTCCTTGTATGAATTGAAACAAGCTCATAAACAATGACACCAAAAGTTTGACAAAACGATGTTGTCCAACGGATTTAAGAACGAGTGTGACAAGTATGTGTATATATAAAACATACGCCAAATGCATATATGATTGTGTGTCTATATGTAGATGATATGTTGATAATGGGAAATAGTCACGATGTATTACTAAAAACCAAGAAAATGCTAACGAAGCAATTTGATATGAAAGATATGGGTGTGGCTGATATGATACTGTGGATTAAGATCTCTTGAACACCGAAAGAAATCATACTTTCCCAATCTCATTACATTGAGAGTATGCTAAAGAAGTATAATGTACTTAAGGAAAGTCCTGTGAAAATCTCTATTGACACAATTTTACACTTAGTAAAAAATACGAGTGAATGTGTGTCACAACTAAAGTATTCACAGATTATCGGCAGTTTAATGTATATTAAGAACTGCATTCGACCGGATATAGCCTTTGTTGTGAATAAATTTAGTAGATTCACAAGTAATTCAAGCCATAATCATTGGAAAGCTTTGACAAGGGTTCTTAGGTATTTGAAGTATACCTTAACTTACGGATTACACTTCTCAAAATATCATGTGGTATTGGAAGGATATTGTGATGCGAATTGGATATCCGACATGAAGGATTCCAAGTCTACTGGTGGTTTTGTATTTACCATTGGTGGAGCTACTATATAATGAAAATAGACAAAGCAAACGTGTATAGCTCGATTAACAATCGAATCTAAGTGCATTGATTTGGATAAAGTTGGAGAAGAAGCGAAATGGATTCGTAACTTTTTGGAAGATATTCTAGGTTGGCCCAAGCCAATATTTGCAATAAGTATGCATTGTGATAATCAATCGGCTATTGGAAGGGCTCAAAGCAGCAATGTATAATGGTAAATCTAGACATATCCATCGCAAACATAATACCATTAACTAATCTCTAATGTCATCATCTCCATAAATTATGTAAAATCAAAGGAGAACATTGCAGATCCACTTACAAGAGGTTTGCCTAGAAATCAAGTACGTTGCCTATCGAAAGGAATGAGATTAAAGCCTACTATGTAAGGATCTTTGTAATGGTAATCCTACTTTGTTGATTGAAGATTCCAAGATTTTGATTCAAATGGACAACTAAGTTATGAGGATTCAATGAAACATTTAGGAAATTATTTTCTAACTCATTCCTATGATATTAAAGTGCTTTCTGCAAAATGTTGAGGTTAAGATACTCTTTTAATGATTCTTATATCTTGATTAAGTCAAGTAGAGTATGACAGAATACTCTTAATAGGAGATCACCTATATAAGTGTGAAGTGGGGCCGCTTCAATGAGAATTGTTCGAGGCTAAAATTCTCTAAACACTTATGAAACCAAGAGTGGTCCAGGGCCAAAATGGACACAACCGTTACGGTTTAGGAAAGACATGGTGTGAGTACTGTTGTCTTGGCTTACACCAACGGCTGAATTATTCAAGACATCACGTTCACCAATTAGCCAAGTAAATCCGATAGTATTTCACTAAGGAAGGTTCAAGGTTGGAAGCCACCTTACCTGATGCAGTGTTTTTCCGCTATCTCTCTCTCTCTCTCTCTCTACAATGCATCATATTTCTACATAGTATGAGCATATTCGAATTCCATTCATGTGGTGGATTGTTGAAATTTGGTTTAGAGTATGAAATTATGTATGTGAAAGTAAATTTTGTGTCAACTTCGATCAAATATTTGGACTTGATTCGATAGTCAAATTATGAATATAAATAAACTAACTCACTCTACTCATCTAGTAGATCTCGTGATATATTGGGAATCTCAAAATCAATTCCGGATGAATGAAAAATTGTGGTCCAAAGTTGGATAGAAAAGAGGATACACGAGTAGGAACATGACTCCCTATTACTCGCTTGTTGCCCGAGCGAGAGGCCAGGGACAGGCTAGCGAGAGAAGCTCTGATGAAAGGTGTCACTGTCGCTCGAGTGAGAGGCCGGCGACAGGCTAGCGATAGTAAATGCTGCGACCTTTGGCAAAAGTTGCTGAGTTTAGGGCGTGACATTTCACTCACAACTTTTCATCTTCTATACAAAGGACCGTTTGGACATCCATTATGCATCCAATATCATACTTGCATTGAGCATTTCATAAATCTCTTGCAAAATCATTTCCAAAAACATTCAAAAGTCATTTTCTTCTTGTAGAGAGAAATTTCGTCGAAAGTTCGCTGTAACTTGTGGTTTGAAGCGCTTCTACCACAAATTGAATCAGTTGCATCTTGGGAGACAAGATACGTAAACCGTGAGCATTGTTGCGGGACTATTTTGTCTTAAGGAAATAGTGTAATTCACTTGCCTCAGATTATTCTTTTTTTCTTCTTCTTCCCTTCTTTATTTTATTTTTTGATTTTCGTTTGTAGTTTACATACTACATTTCCAACCCATATTTATAGTGTTTAACCACGCTCCTGCAGATTAAACTTTGTTCTTGTCAATTCTATAATTTAACAACCCTTTCACCGCACATAAATAAAGCCCGCTCCAACAAAGTAAAGAATGGACCTTTCATGTAATCATTAAAGAGGAAATTAGACTATATGCCCTAAATATAAGGGAATTTTGAAAAATCATGTAAAAAGTAAATTGAAAGTATAAAATACTGCATTTTTATATTTGTTTTAGCCAATCAACAAACTAAATTCTAATTATTTCCCACTTCTCTCTCTCTCTCTCTCTATTCATCCAATGTCTCGATGAAGGAGTTAATAGAATCCCCTACAGTTTTACACCTATCTCCTTTTTCTGATAGCCGGATTCTTGAATGTAAGTCACCGGCATTTTCGTTTTCTGAAGAAGCATCTTCTTTATTGCTCCATACATGGGTCTCCAACAATGGGTCTTCAAACAACTAGTAAGCTCTTGCCTTTTCTAAGCTCACGAGAACTAGAAGAGTGAGAGGTGATCTTTTGATAGCCAACAAATATCGAGGACCCTTCCTTAGGTCTCCAAACATGATGTGTTTTTTCGAAGCTTTTATCCTAGAGATCTTCACATGGTGGCCAAAATTAATTGTCGTCACTGAAATGGATGTGATTGCTGTTTTAATTTGTGGGCATGTTTTAAATTTTTTTAAGGCCGTGTTTGATAGGCCACATTTTTCGGGGAAGTAGGAAAATATTTTCCACTTTCCACTTTTTT